AAGTTAAGGACCACCTTGATAGACAATCCTGATTTTTTCTTTAATCCGAAAAAAAGACAGCAAGGAATATTTCAAAATGTTTTCTCTGAAAGTGTTAATGAGTTATACGGGGAGCCCACTACGGATGGGATCGGCCGATCGGGCCGATCGCCCGACTCGATCGCCTCAAAAACAAATGTGTTTGTTTTCAGTTTCAGGCGATCGAGTCAGGCGATCGGCCCGATCCAGCTGTAGTGGGCACCCCGTATTACCAAAGCGTACTGCAAAACTTCCTAAAGGACCAAAACCACCAAGTGCAGCACGGAAATCCTCGGGGAAGTTTTGCCACATTTGCTGTTTTTTATCGACTTGTGTGCGACATCACGGACATTCCTCAGTTAAAATTTCTGGTGTGCGTCATAAACGGACGTACGGTCTCGAACTGTGCTCACTTTGGTGGCAATATAAGCCGCCGTTTGCGCAAAATCCAGTATGGCATCAACGTGCCACCAAGACGAAAGCTGGGAGACTTTGATGGTGCCAGAGGTGTGGCATGGCTGCAGGATGGAGTTGGAGCCCGAGAAGTTGCCAGAAGGCTTGCAGTGTCACACTCTGTCATTGTCCGCCTGAGGCAGCGCCATCAAGCCACTGGATCAGTCCACGTGCAGGTCGACCCAAGAAAACCACTCAGAGTGTTTGCGAGTAGCAAAAGTGTGTAGCATTTCGGATTTTAAAAGTAATCGTTAATATCAGGATAAACCTATACATGCATATATACACATGTACACACATATATTTTATATTATATATCACATACATATTGTATACATATATTTATATACGTATAATTATACATGTTGTCTTGACAGTTCTTATAAACGAGAAAAATAGCCTGTTTATAAAGGTAAGCTTTTCTTGAACATGTTTTAGTTTTAGTAGAGGTTTTATGGCGCTCGCAACATAAGGTCAAATGAGCGCCAATTTTCTAGAACATGTTTCCAAAGACAGAACAGGAAACATTATACAGAAACCAGGGTCAGGCGACTGGCATTATGACAGATTACAAATCAGGGAAAGCCAAAAATAACAGATAATTGTGCATATATCCTGTATGGGACAAGATGTTAACATTGATTCCATATGTGAGGCAGAGTGGTGAAATCATGTGCTCGTCAAAATAATCAAAGTGAATACACTGGTATTTTCCCGCAGATTTGAGAATTTTAATCGATTGTTTTTTTGTTCTTTTTTGGGGGGGGAGGGGGGGGTCTAAACTTTTCATACCCATTAACGAATACATTTCCGTGTAGATGTAGATTTTCCTGGAAAAGGTTGATTAAATCCATAACAGATGTACATTTTCAATTTCCTCGTACTCTCAAGCTAAGGAAATAACTAAACTTTAGCGACCATTTTTTCGCAACTTTCCCCCCAGAAACCAGGCGACCCCACCTCCTTCAATCGCCAATATCTCGACTTGTGTCCAGGATGATAGAAATAATTCCCTGTGCCAAAAACTTGACCAGCGTCTGAATCCACCACGACGTGACACATATAGTCTGACCAGCGTGTATGACGACAGCCCAACAAAATCTGCTATCACTGTACTAATAAATAGACTAACAGGTACTTTTACAAAGTGCGTCATTGAGTTTAATGACAAATGGAAAGCCAAACATAGATCTAGTTATTGAAAAGTCAGAAACGGTCCAGAGTTTCAAATTGCAAAAGTGCAACGCACTGATAGCCACAAAACAGCAAATACTACTACTACTACTACTACTACTACTACTACTACTACTACTACTACTACTA